AATGTGCTGCCCTCCATTTGTAAGCGTTCAGATTTCCAGCTGTAGTGAATCTCACAGCACTTTCAGTTACCATGGCAATGTTCCATTGCAGGAGCTGATAGATTCCAGACAGATTGGTGCAAGCCGCCTAAGCAGAGTTGAGACACTGGCTCCTGCAGTGAAACAGAACACAACTCCCAGTGGGTGTGAACTGCTAGATGCAGAGATGCAGGCCCTGCGCTCGGACTGGAAGCAGTGGGAAGAGAGCATATTTCAAACCCAAAACAACTTGGAGGATATAGTTAGCCAAATGGCCTTGTCGGAGCAGGAGTTCACAGCGCAGGTTGCTCAGCTGGAAAAGGCCCTGCAAAAGTTCACCTCACTTCTTGCAGCCTGCTCTCAAAAGCTGACCCTCCTAGATGGCAAGCAAACTGATAAAGAAATAATTGAATGCTGGCACCAAGAAAAAGTAAGGCCACTTTCTGCTTCTCTAATCCTTTTTTGGTTGTAAATATACAAGTACTCTGTTGAAGAAAACTTCTTACCAGCAAGTGACTGTAATACATAGGCATAGGAAAAGCAGAAAGCTTTGAAATACATTTTTAAATATAAAATTCAAAGCTGAAATCTCTAGTAATGACGTTGTAAACTTTTTTAAAAGGAGTCACAGTGTGCAATGTTTTAATGAAGACATTTCTCTTTGGCCTCCATTGTACAAGGCATAATACATGTTTCTCAGCTCTCCCAACACTGAAAACAGGGCCTTTCAGCAGAGGCAGAAACCAGTGAATGCTAGTTTTGAGTTTTCCTTCCAACTCCCTCAGTATTTCAAGCCACAAAAGCACATGATTGTAGAAATGAGTATTGAATGTTGTGGTTTTCCGTAAGGTCAGTTAGCCATCATAGGCATTATGTTTCCTTGAATTTAATCCTTGCTTTTTGCCAATTTATTCTTCTCATTTCTCAGAACATCTTGGCATTGTGCATTATAAGCTGTCGGCGTATATTTAGAGAAGAGGAATTAGAAGCTAGTATCTACTGGTTAACTGTTCTCTTAACTAGCTCAGCAGTACTACTTCAAGACAGAGAGAGGCAATCGAAACGCTTTTTACCTTCTTACTTCTCTCCGAGGTGATCTTCCACAGCGGAGGCAAAAAGATTCCTGTAGTATTATAACTGTGAATGATATATGCCCCAAAAAAGGTTGTAGAGTGTTTCAGTTTCTGCTGGCTTTGCACCAAAACCGTCCAAGTAGAGTGAGAGAGCCATGTAATGCTTGCACTGTCACTCCTTCACTGAAGATCTGAAATGTTCTAAAACTCCCAGAGATGTTCTTTCTTTAATCTGAGATTATTAATCTCCATCTCCTGCTTCCCTCTCACGTAGTTCCCCTTTCACAGAATTCTCCTCTGATATGCAGATTTACAGTACCAGTATGCAGCATTCAGTACACAGCAGCAGGTCTGATAAGGCTGTAATACCACTTTAAACATTATGGGTATGAATATGCAAAATTCCCCTTGGCTCATACTATTTTTAACCTTGTATTATTACCAACACACCTACAGGAATTACCAGAGATTCTGTGCTTAAAAACCAATATTAAACTCCTTATAATCTCAAGAGACTTCAAAATGTTGCTTGTTAATATTTATACTGTATGCAAATTGTAGCTGAATGTAGTACTTGTCTAATATACTTGCTTTTTTAATAACAAATATGCTGACTTCTAATAATATGTAGAATGCAGAAAAACAGAAGTCTTACTGAGTATGCCTCTACTTTGTAATCTAATTTATAGTAAAAAGTAGGAACCTGTGTACTGAAAATTAGGAGTCCTAAGGAAAATTAATAATGTGGACAAGGGAGAACCAGTGGATATAATGTACTTAGACTTTCAGAAAGCCTTTGACAAGGTTCCACACCAAAGGCTCTTAAACAAAGTAAGCAGTCATGGGATAAGAGGGAAGGTCCTCTTATGGATCAGAACTGGGTAAAAGACAGATGACAAAGGGTAGGAATAAATAGTCAGTTTTCTGAATGGAGAGAGGTAAATAGTAAAAGTCCCCCAAGGGTCTGTACTGGGATCAGTCCTATTCAACATATTCATAAATGATCTGGAAAAAAGAGAAAACACTGAGGTGGCAAAATTTGCAGACAATACAAAACTACTCAAGGTTAAGTTAAGCCCAAAGCGGACTGCGAAGGGCTACAAAGGGATCTCTCAAAACTGGGTGAGTGGGCAACAAGATGGCAGATGAAATTCAATGTTGATAAATGCAAAATAATGCACATTGGAAAACATAATCCCAACTATACGTACGAAATGATGGGATCTAAATTAGCTGTTACCTCTCAGGAAAGAGATCTTGAAGTCATGATAAATAGTTCTCTGAAAACATCAGCTCAATGTGCAGCAGCAGTCATAAAAGATAAAATGTTAGGAAACTTTAGGAAAGGGATAGCTATTAAGACAGAAAATACCATAATGCCTCTATATAAATCCATAGTATGCCCACACTTTAAATATTGCATACAGTTCTAGTCACCCCATCTCAAAAAAGATATATTAGAATTGGAAAATGTACAGAGAAGGGCAACAAAAATGATTAAAGGTATGGAACAGCTTCCATATGAGGAGAGATTAAAAACACTGGGACTTTTCAGCTTGGACTAGAGATGGCTAAGGGGGGGATATGGTAGAGGTCGATACAATCATGGCTGGTGTGGAGACAGTGAATAAGGAAGTGTTATTTACTCCTTCATGTAACACAAGAAGCAGGGGTCACCCAATGAGATTAATAGACAGCAGTTTAAAACAAACAAAAGGAAGTATTATTTTACACAATGCACAGTCAAGCAATGGAACTTGTTGCCAGGGGATGTTGTGATGGCCAAAAAAGAACTGGGTAAGTTCATGGAGAATAGGTCCATCAATGGCTATTAGCCAAGATTGTCAGGGATTCAAACTCCATGCTCTGTGTGCCCCTTGCCTCTGTTTGCCAGAAGCTGGGAATGGACGACAGGGGATGGATCACCTGATGATTACCTGTTCTTTTCATTCTCTCTGAAGCATCTGGCATTGACCACGGGTGGAAGACTGGGTACTGGGCTAGATGGACCATTGGCCTGACCCATTATGGGCATTCTTATACTTTAATAATGATCCAGCCATTTTGGACTTCCTTTGAAGTTATACTGTGACCATAAAAAAGACATGACAGCAATTCCATTTCTGTTGTCTTACATTGACTCGATTATCATGTGTGCTTAGAATTAAAATATCTTTCGTAATTGTTAGTGTTTGTAAGCTCATTCTGGTATCCCAAAGTCAAGCTGTGTTCCTTAGGCAATAGCAATAATAAAAGATCCCACATTTAGAACTTATGTAATAATTCTATTGATATATGATCCAGAATCAAATCCATTTCACTGCCAGAGCAGTGTTGGCTCTGCCGGGCTTTATTTAAATATATACAGTGTAGGTATCTATTGTTCAGTGGTTCTCAACCTGTGGCCCAGTCAGCACACAGTTACGCCCCATGTGACATCCTCAGGGCCATAAAGGTAATATATATACTGTGTGGATGTGGGCCACATAACACAGAGAGAGCTGCATATGTAGCCCACAGTGGTAAATAGGTTGAGAACCACTGGTATAGTCTCTTTCAGTTCATAACTGCACTTTAAAAAAAAAACCAGGTTTCTGCATTTTGGACAGCTTGTGTGTGAAATTATAGTATGCTATTATAAAGATCTTTCAGTGGTGGTAGTGGTAGGTTAATTGAAAATAAAAACTCCTTCAAACATGGATTTGTTAAGTGCAGGGCATTTGTAGTAAATATTCTTTTTTCAGAAGTACTTGTGACATTTCAGAATAGTGAGTCCTACACTGTAGAACTTGAGAAATCCTGTATGTAAGCAATCAGTATTATGATGGCATAATTGTTACTGCTAGAAAATGTCCTCTGCGTATTTTAGTGTAGCATGATAGCTAAAAGAAATAAGCTTACATTAATTTCTAAGCAACATTACCAGTGTGTAAATAAATAAATTAATTCAAATATTATATTGGTATTAGAACATCATTGACAATTTGGGAGTTTCAGTCTTAATAACTGTGGAATCTACTGGTGTTTGAGTGACTCAGAGCAGATATAACCAGTAATGTTGGCATAAATAGTGTAGGTTAGTTAAAGATATGGTGGAAATTTCCTGTGGTGAAGTCAGTTTTTCACAGTTTCAGAATAATCAGAGCTGTAGTTTTGTACACACACGATATTGAAATGCCTTTGGACAGTCATTCTGCTGAGTTTCACTGTATCCAAGTTAATTATAAACAGGTTTCACTAAACTTAATATTACATTGAAGTACTGGTGAGCGATCAAACCACTTTTTTTTTTTAAGATAACAGGATTTTGTGGTTTTCCTTTTCTCTAAAATCTAGAAGGCTTTTCCTGACAGTTCAGCCTTTATTAAAAATATGTGTAATATATTTGAATTTCCTAATTTACAGTACATTACAGGGTAAAAATCTTCATTTACTCACCCACAACCATCCAGATAGAGTTTTTGGTAAGAAGGGATTAGAAAGGAGGCTATCACCGCAGGTTGCTTGGCTATTGTCCATATGCTGTTCTACCAAGCCAGTCAATTGGCTTGTTAGAGTCTTGCAGATATATGAAAGATTTGACATCTTTTACTGCTGATCTATATATTTGGACTTTTGAATAGCCTCTTAGTTTTATTACATCTTGGTGAATATTGCCCAGTAAACAACCTATTCAAAGAGCTGTGCCTTTTCTATCTTTGTAATTGTCCACAAATAGATTGTAAAACTGTCAAATTATTTATTTTTTTTTTTGTAGTTTAAACTACTTGCTAATTTCTTGAGCAGTAATTCTTGGTTTGCAGATGGTTCACAGATATCCCATTGAGAATATTGTGAATGTACCTGCACCTCTGTCCATATCTGGTCTCGCTCAGGGCACCCCTCACATAATAGGCCTCTTGCCCTTACCTGTGTTGGGGTGGAATCACATGATTCTTTCACTCTTAGACCAGTAACTACTTATCGTCTTGCGGGTTTGACTGGGTTTCATGCATCTGCATTTCTTCCCTTCGGCAACTTGTGGCTAGTGATAAAATGGTCAGCAGCCTTCTTTAAACCAAAGTATTTTGGTTTAGCAGTTGGAACAAAACTGTAGAGAAAAAGAGATTTTTTTTTAATCAGCAGACAGCCTTCAGACATATTTAGCCTCATCTAAGTTTAGGCTTCATTACTAGCTAAGTTAGATAGACTTTCCTCTAAAGTTATAGGGAGAACACACTTACATTCTCCCCTGTGAGTCTGAGGGTTTCTCAAAAACTCCTCCCCAGCCTGACCAGGAGAGCGGGCTAGTGCCATTAAGACTACTCACTGTGACATTGTACTTTGACACCGCGTTCATTCTCAGTGAATGGTAATCATTAGTCTTGTCACTGTGTGTGGCCTGTGGGTTAAGGTGGTGAAACTCTGCTTCCCTTTCAAAGTCCAATGCATCTATCACTTTTTGGGTTACAGATCAATAACCTGGACCAAACACCCCACATTCATCACACATTCTGCTTATGCATATTTACATAAATTGGACAGTATTGTTTCTATTCTCTGATGGGGTGGTTTAGGCAACTTACCAACAAAAATATATTGCAATTATTAAAGTCAGACGTAGACTTTGAAATTTGCTTTAGGAGAATATTTGAGAAAAAACAGAATTTACGTAAGCATTCACACACAGAAAAACTTGAACACTAAAATATTTTCAGAAGATGAGCATGGTTGGGTAATGAACATGGCTGAATTGAAATTTGCTTTGGAATTCAGGTCAGTATTTTCAGATTAATTCCAGTACTTTCTCAGCCCTAATAATTTTAGCCAAAGGGTAAAATTTTCAAACGTGTCCAAAGTCCCGTTTACAGAAGTGACTTTTTAGGAATTTTTAAAATGGAGCCTAGGCTCCTAATTCGCTTATGTGCTTTTGAAAAATTTACCCAAAATGTTCAAATATGGATACTTAAAGTTAGGTTCCTAAATCCATATTTAGGCACCTAAGTAGAAGCTGACTGTCCAGAAGTGCTAAACACCTGCAAATCCCATTGGAAGTTAATGGAAACAGGATGTGCACAGCACCTTTGAAAATCAGGCAAGTTCTGTTTTGGTGCCTAAATTTGATTTTGGGAGCCTTCTTTTAGGCACCCAGAATTGAAAATATTGGCCAGATCTTACAAAAGAACTGTATATGACAGTATTTCTTTGCAGAAGTACCAAACATTTTGCCCATCTTAACGTTTAAATTATTCTGTGTTGATTTTATTAATTTGTTTATTTAAAAGTGACAGCTCTGAGAAAAAGGTACACATCCCATTTTTCTGAGTAATAGTACAATCTCGCTTTAACACAGCACAAACAATGTAAGGCACACCTCATCTAAATTAGTTGACAACAGTATTGAACAGTCACAATTTCAGTTCTTTTCACAGTGTTCTTTTTCCCCCCCACCAGGAAACAGTGGATGCTCTAACAAAGGCAGAGAATATGACAGAAGAGTTCAAGACTCAATTAAATGACCTTTGTAGATTTTCCAGGGATCTGAGTACCTATTCTGCAAAAGTTTCAGGGTTAATTAAAGAGTACAATAGGTAAGCATTCATCTTATATAAGTTAAACAATACTCTGTGTGTGTAACATATACATTTTGATCTAGGATACCATAAGTTAGAAATTCACAAGTAAACAGTGGATTATTTACTGATTGCCTTAAACTTGATGGTAATAAAGGTTGAAAAAATTGCCAATTATTTTTTTAAGGCCTTGATTGAGTCATAAGACTCAGCTTTGAATGGTTAAGAATTGGCACTGTGAATGACAACAGATAGTCATTGGGTCAGAGACAGAGAGTGAAAATAACTCTATAGCCTGGTGATTTGGACACTCACCAAAAATGTGGGAGAATCGAATTCAAATCCCTGCTTCAATGATTATTTAATTGTTTATACGAAGTGGGAAAGTTTCCACAGGAGAGATTGAGAGAATATCCCATAATCTAGTGGCTAGGACACTCTCCTGCAGGGTAGGAGACCCAGGTTCGCATCCCTTTTTCACATCAGGCAGAAGAGGGTGTATCGGGGTGTACCAACTCCGCACTGGGCTGCTGGGGGCAGACCAATCATTTTGGGCCCAGGTGGCCATGCCCCATTTCCTCTCCTGCACATGCTCCAGGTGGAGAAGCCAGATAAAAGGAGCCAGCACAGCTCAGTTGGGGTGGGCAACAGAGGAGGAAGGACGTACATTGCTGGTTCCTGCAGTGCTTCTAGCGGTAGAGCCTGACTACGCTCCAGAAGACTTGCCGATGGCGGAGACTGCTGGGAAGCCAAGCCGCCACCTGCTGAGGAGGCTGCTGCCTGCTCTGTGTCCCAGCCCAGAGGGAAGTAAGTCCTACAGACTATTTGTTTGTTTTGCCCCACCGAGGGGCCATAGACTGACTGATGTTTTCCCCTGTCCAGGGGGCTAATTCACCAACTGCCACTGCTGGCCCAGCTGGGAGGTTGCAGGGCTCCAGACTGGTTGTTTTGTTTTGTCCGTCCAGAGACCACGGACTAGTTCATTAAGTGACTCCTGTTGGGGGCCCGAGACCCACTTGGATGAAATCACCCACTTAACAGGGAATTCTGACAACAGGGTGATGGGGTAAACAGGGAAGGGAAGCTGGAGGCTTGGGCCAGCGCCACAGAGCTCCGAGGCCGACACATTGAAGGGACGATGTTATGAGTGTGGCCAGAAGGGACATTTCAGATGGCACTGACCTTTCATGGACTGCAATTATGGCCAGGTCTGGGTAGCAGGTTCTCGGGCCTGGCAAAAATGCTCACCAAAACTGATAGTCCCTATGCAGGTCAGTGGCACTCCAGTATCCAGTCTTATTGACTTGGGTTGCAGCCAGACTCTCATATGGGCCAATCTGGTGAAGTCGCTGGACTGGACAGAAGTCCTATATACCTTCAGTACATCCACAGGTATGTACAACTATCCGCCACCACTAAGGTAAAGCTAACGGTGAGCAGTCTCAAGGAGACATACCGGATCGGTCTGGACAAAAAGGTGGCATATCCCGCAGTCCTAGGTCAAGACCAATGTTCCCTCTAATTTTTAAGAGGCTGTGTGCGCAAAAAATTTCTTCTGTGCCGCCACCGAAGAAAAAAAAAAAAGAAGCCGCTGAAGTCGGAGTGCGCGCGGTGTTTCGCCATGTGTGCGGGGTTTAAGATCTGTGTGCACGCGCACAGCTTAGGGGGAACAGTGGTCAAGACTGGTCCTGGTTTAGGGAGATCCTGCAAGAATGGGTGCGCCGTCCATTGGCAGAAACAAACTAGTGGCCATGGGTGAGGGGATTCCTAGGCCAGAAGGAAGAAGAAGGACGAGACGAGAGACCCTCCTGCCCTGCAAAAGGCCCCGGACCACGCCCTGCAGGAGGGGAGATGCTGGAAGTGAAGCGGGAATGACTGATGGGGACTTCCTGAGACAACAAAGAGAAGACCCCACCCTGAGTCGTGTGTGGGAGCAATTGACCCCAACCGAGGAGGAAGGGGATGCCAATCCACAGACACCCCAGGGACCGCGCTTTGAGGTCCATGATGAACACCTTTACTGGATGACCAAGAACCCGCAAACGCAAGAAGTGATCCAACACTGGTGCCGTGTAAGTTCTGGCGTGACCTGCTGCAGTTGGTGAGAGAAGACCCCACACCAGGTGGCCCTTAGGTTTTTCTGGCCCGGCATCCATAGGGAAGAGAGTGACTTGTGTGTCTACTGCCCAGAGAGCCAAAGGCCCAGTCCCAGAGGGATACCCAAGGCGCCCCGATCCCCCACCCAGTGGTAGGAGTGTCATATGAGAGGATAGGCATGGACCTAATTGGGCCCTTCGAGAAGAGCGGCTCGGGGTTCCGCTACATATTGGTGGTGGTAGACTATGCAACCTGATACCCTGAGGCTGCGACTGCAACTGTCATAGCAAAGGAACTCTTGAAAATGTTTGCCCAAGTCGGGATACCAAAAGAGATACTGACAGATTGGGGCGCCAACTTTTCATATCGACTCATGGCGAAGCTATGCAAGCTACTAAACATCCAGGCCCTGAAGACTTCTGTCTGTCATCCCCGGACCGATGGCTTAGTCAAGAGTTTTACTGGGACCTTGAAATCAATGCTCTGTAAATTCGTGGAGGACGACCCACAACATTGGGATAAACTGTTACCTGACTTGCCGTTCACAATACGGGAGGTACCCCAAGTGTCTAAGGGGTTCTCTCCATTTGAACTGTCTTTCGGGAGGCAACCCAGGGGGATCCTGGACCTCCTTCACAAGACCTGGGAGGAACAAGAGTCCCGAGTTACCGGGTCAGTTACATATATGTTACAGCTGCGGGAGTACCTTAAGAGGCTCGGAGGGTTTGCCCACGATAATCTAATGAAAGCCTAACAGATCTGAGACAGAGATACACCCAGGGCACCCATCTCCAGACCTTCAAACCCAGTGATTGTATCTTGTTATTACTCCCCTCATCTGAGTCCAAACTGTTAGCCAAATGGCAGGGACCATTTGAAGTGGTCCGAAGGGTGAGACTGGTAGATTACGAGGATGGTGACACAATATTAGAGTGTACCACATCAACCTCTAAAGGCCTGGAGGGCCCAGAAGGGTATGCTAATTGCACCTTACCTGGCTGACCCTGAATTAGGACCAGACGCATTGAACCCCCCACCCCCATCGACACAGCAATGGTCATCGGGCAGGAGCTCAATGAAGAACAATGACAACAACTGCAACGACTGACCCAGTCCTTTCCAGCTGTTCTATCACCCCATCCCGGATGGGCAAAGATGGCATACCATCACATAGCTACGAGCCCAGGACAGAGGGTGCGAGATCATCACCGGTCATTGCCCTGGAAGATGCGGGGGATCGTCAAAGAAGAACTTGAGGTGAAGCTAGCCTTGGGGGTCATGGAAGAGTCCCATAGTGAGTGGAGAAGTCCTGTTCTAAAACCAGACTGGTTCACAAGGTTCTGCATAGATTTTCAAAAAGTAAATGCGATCTCCTGCTTTGATGCATACCCTATGCTATGGGTAGAAGAGATTCTGGAACAGTTGGGGAATGCCGAGCTCATATCTACTCTCGATCTAACAAAGAGATACTGGCAAATTCCCCTGACTCCTGCTTCCCAGGAGAAGACAGCTTTTGCCATACTGTTCGGCCTCTTCCAATTTATGACCATGCCATTTGGGCTACATGGGGCCGCTGTGACCTTTCAGAGGCTTATGGAACAGCTACTGCGGCCACACGAGCAATATGCAGCGGTCTATATCGACGATATAG